TATATATATATATAGGGTTGGGTTCATGTGAGACCAATGCTTTTTCGTGAGACCCGTAAGACCAATTTATGTTCATTGATCAACTTTATAAACTAATGATCTAATGGTCTAAAGTTGCACGGTGGCAATTCTATAATTATTGAGAAGTCTCGTGACATTTATAAATGTTCAGATCTAACGATTGTAGATCTAATCCAAAGGTTGAGAATTGGTTTTACGGGTCTCACGAAAAATCATTGGTCTCACATGATCTCAAGTCTATATATATATAATCAACATCAATCAATCCTCAAGACTCCAAGTTCATATTTAGGTCAAATGATAACCATGGCTGTTTGGTTTGAAGGAAAGTTTAGATTTGAAATTTCGGGTTTTAAGTAAAATCACACAACCGAAGGATTTATAAATCCATCGGAGATGACTGACATTTCAAATCTAAATACCATCGATTCCAATCGTTTACTAGCCCAAACCTTTTATCAAATCTGCCCTAATCTCTTTATTGCCTCCACATGCAATTTATCATTACAAACAAATAAAAATTTATGAAACAAACAAATATTCACAAAAAAATTGAATTTCATTCGAAATCATATAAACCAAACACATCAAAAATTACAAATCTTTTAAAAATATTTTCGAAAATAAAATGGAGGATAATTTGAAAAAGGAATCAAATACTTTTGAGGTTTAAAGAGGTGATTGATAATGATAATGATAATGATGGGTGCATCGTTGGCCAAGGTGATGGCGACCTTCAAATTTTTTATAGTGTGATATCGCCTTCAACCTTTCTTTTGTGTTATTATAGTATATACATATATAGAGAGGAGTGGTCAAATGAAAAATCATCCAATTTGTACAAATCACCTTCATTCGTCGATTTTATTATTTAATCTTATGAAATTTTTTCATGAAATTATTTAATTTTATGAAATTGTTTAATATAATACTTTTTTTGATGAAGTTGTATCATATATGGTTATGAATTGTTTCATATAATACTTAATGAAACTTTAATGAAACTGTTTTATGTATTTCTCTAAAATTAAAATAATGAAGATGATAATATCCATGATTAATACCTTTTACAATAAAAATAATTAATCAATTTCTCATAATTACAAAAAAGTGAACAAAATGAAAAATTATGATTGGTTGAATGAGGTTTGTACGGTTTGTACAAATAACATGGTTTGCAAAGTAAACCTCCTATATATATATATGTGTGTGTGTGTGTGTATGTATATTTATAGATAGATAAATAAATAAATAGAAACCTCTCCAAAAGATGAATATTGTGGTCTGTAACAAACCCCTCCAATAGAGGCTAGATGGCCATATATTGTTCCAAAGTGTTGAAAGGGGAACTAGACGAGTGACGGCTTGAAGAGTACAGATTGCCCCAGAGTATCGACTCTCTAGAATGGTAGGTTTTGGCTCTGATACCATGTGAGAATCTGTAGAACTTTCATCTTACTTTCCAAAAGATCCCTTGAGAAGATAAGAGTGGTTCCAACATTATATAAAGAATACTTGGTCCAAGTCTAACCAATATGAGACTTTAACAACTGATACTTAAAGGACAATTCTGTAATGTTCGTACCGTTTCTTTTCACAAGCCAATGAAAGTGAAATATTTGCGATCCTCTCTATCACCACGCTTGTGGCAACTGTAATATTTAAATTCATGATTTTTAGGTTATTGAACGGGTTCCGATAATTTGAGTAGCTCAATTTGGATATGATTTGACTTTTTGAAGGAAAAAAAAACATCTGACTCTGGCTAACCCCTAACTCGATTGAGTTTTCTGGTTTTTATCTGGATCCGTGCTCACCCCTGATTCGACTTAATATGTATTAAAGTAGTTGGGCCAAACCAAATGGAACTAAATTAGGGGCCATCTTTTATTTATTTATTTAGTTTAATTTAATATTTCATTAGTATTCTTGTTCCAGATTAAATTTAAGGGGAGTTTACCTAAATGTATATCTGGTAAACGTTTATCGTTAAAATTCAATAATGTTATTTATCTTACCGAGTAAGATTCTAGTCCATCAAAATAGTGTCATATGCAACAATTTATCTGATAAGCATTAATTGGGTAAGAGTCGTCACTCTCACTTACTGGGAAAGTATCGCCACACACACTTATCGAGTAAGACTCTCGGTCGGGCACGTTCCCGGCATTTTATATGCTCTGTACGAGATGTAAAAAAGGGCCATTGATAAGTATGAAAAAATCTTCAATATATTGTTTTTATTGTCACAACTAACATTGAATTCAAGAAATATTAATAATTTATATAAATTAATATGTTTTTCCAAAGTATTCCTAGATACAAAACCAATCAATAATTGTTTATAAATTAATGTTATATACAGTATCATTTTTACGTGGCTTCTAAATGCATTCTACCATAAAAAAAATAACCTATGATATACCTTTAATATATAATTTGACATAATTTGGGGTCACAATTAATGTTGGCTATTCGGAGTAACACTCTATGTAAATAAATATAAATCACTTGGGTTTTCGTCTAACCACATATAATGTTTTTCATCACCTTTTTAAACTTTTAGGATTAAAAAAATCTTTTTCGGAACAATCAATCTTAGAATTAAAAGTCCATGTTGGTTATATTTTGAGATCTTATTCTTATTTTCGTGATATAAAAGTACTTAAGATTAATGCACTTGATATTATGTAACAATGAGTCAATAATGTATGAAAAACAAGGGTACATTTGAATATGTATATGTGAACTTTTTCATCTCTTTATCTTTTTAGGTTTTACCAATTATTCATATATAAATACGTATATGTAAACCTACTATCCATTTTACCAATAACTCACATGTGAATCATTTTCTCGCAGGTGTATTTTTACTTTTTTTTTTCTCAATCTTATTTGAATCTTTGTGTATCTATACTATATTATAAAACATTTGACAAAAACTCTTAAAATCATCTTTTATACATGAAGTAATGCTTATGGATGCATATTACTTAAAATTCAAGATTACAAGTAGATTGTACATAAGTATAACTTATTAAGCTTCATGTTTGAATTTGTGTAACTAACCGTAGATAAATATAATCAAATACATGATAAAATTCTTATTTTAAATATAAAATCCAAAAATAATTAGAATAATTATTGAGTTCTAACAGAATACTTAATTATTATATTTATAAGAATTATATTATTAAACCAAAAATAAATTATTTCGTCATCAAACCTAAATTAAATTATAATAAAAAAATTGAATTAAAAAAATTACACAAAAAATGAGATTTATATAATTTGTAATGTTTATGATATCTTCAAATTTATATTTTATCAAGAAAACATTATTGTTTGCTCAAAACCATATAAATTCGTATTATAACATCGACATAGACCAAAAAAGTAAAATAAAACATTGAAATCGAGATATATCTTACTGTAATGCACGGGTAACCTTATAGTATAATAATAATAAGTTATAAAGTTAAAATTAAATTTTTTTTTATTAACCTGGATATCCAACCTGCTATACGAGCCGACTAATTTCAGGGCGACCACCTGCTTTGCAGATAGTTCGGAGTCACCACATTTGAACCTCCATGGCCACAATTTTTTTTTATTTCTCCTTGGATTTATACTTGAGATCTGCTAGTATTTTTGACATTTAGAACTCAAACAAGTAATTAAAAAATATTTTAAAAATATCGTGTGAAACGATACATATATTAAATATATAAAATAGATCAATTTTGAAATATAAAACACCGGCCACCGTGAATAGGAGGCAAAAGGCGTCGGAGACTAAATGCAGCAAACAAGTCAGTGCGACTAAGAGTCTAAAACCCCTCTTTCACTGCGAATTCGATGCAATTGAATTTGGGGACGACGTCATAGGCATACAGTTACTCCAATTGATTTGTTAATGTTCAGAGCTCCGACAGCTAGTGGTGGTGGTGGGGTACCTTTAACAACCATCACCACTCAATCACCAAATCCGGCAGACATGGGGGATCAGAGCCACCACCGAGCTGCTGCCGCCAGGGCTTTTCAGTTCCATCCGGCCCGACCAGCTATAATCGACCTGTTTAATCTATACCTCGGTGTATGCTACTTTCTATCCACCTCTGTACCAAATTGAAAAAACCTTCTCCTTTGCTATTTGAAAAGGATGATGTTCATTATTTGAGAATAATCAATTTCTTGCTGTTTTTCATATGCTTTCATCTCCACACACATTTCAATTTTCATGTCTTGATCAATCTCTGAAAATTTGGTTGTCAAATCTCTAAATTTTGCAGCGAAGTGCCCGCGAAAAGTCAGACGATTTAGTCCGAGAACCTCCGTAAGTTAAACCCTTTTTAAGTTTCGATCTGATATTTCAATTTCAGTTACCTTCTAAGAAGTAAAGCTTTGTGATCGAAAGTACTTTTCTGTCTAGTCAATTGAAGTGAAATGTAGTTTCGTTGGTTGAAATAGTTGGTTTAACCTGATGTTGAAGTTCTTGCAGGCTAATGCCCTAGTTCATACACCTGATATCAAAGGATTTATTGGCTAATATCAAAGTTTTTGCAGGCTTAATGGAAGTTCTTACACCTGAAATAATTAATTAGACCCGAAAAATAAAGCATGAGACTTTGCAAATGAACACAAAAACTTAAAAGACTGCATGAACATCAATCATACTTATTGACATTTGAGTGAGGATCTTCCAAGTTTTTGTGTTTTACTCCATTCCAAGACAAGTGTTACAAGTAACTTTCGAGGTCATATGCTTTACTCTAAAGACTCGAAGTTTTCAAGGAAAGAAACTGGTAACTAAGCTATATATTATGGAAGGCACTTAAATGAATTCATGCCAACTCTGTGTTTGGAAAGTACTAGGTTTATGGTGGCAGTAGTTACTTTAAATGTTAACAGATCGTAAACATTTTTATTGCTTGTGTATTCTCCAGTTGAATAACAATGCTAAGAAAAATGGGTAATTGCTTTTTGTTGAGTGGTATTTAAACTTTCACGACTTCTATACATTGAACATAATGCACATTTTTTATATGAATTCTTTTATCAACCAATTCTAGCTTGTTTATGTGCAAAGTTTTGGATAAAGAAAGAAGGGAATCTGAGTCTTTGGTATCTGTATGTACGTATAGTTAGAGATTCACATGCTGTAGCTCTCGTAACTACTCAGCCATGCTACAGTTAGTGTTATGTTTTCAGTTCACACATCCCTTGTATGACCTAACCAAACGTTTTTGCTACACCGCCTTGGCGCCTTTTACCACTAGAATTTCCTAAACCTCGACAAGATGTGCATTTTGTTACTGAAGCCTGTAAATTGTAATTCCACAGTTTGTTATCTTTTGAAGTTCAAGGCATCAATCGGATCTTCTTGACATGTAATGCGCATGTTGTCTTTGATGGTTCGAGGCCATAACTTTGTTGGAAGTTTTTTGAACTCCATAAAAAACCATTTGTTTTGTTTCTATCCCTGAATCTGCTTCTAGAGAACATTTATGAGAAAAGAGACATGAACAAGCATTACTTAAAAAGATAAGTAAAGTGATGGAGTAACTTTATGGCAACCACCAAAGTGACCATTAGACTTTGACATTTATCCTTCTCAAAAGAGTGAGTGCGTAATAATGATGAGAGACTTTTTTCAACTCACATTTTTATTCCATAAAAAGTATAAATGTTGAGTTGGCTTGCCATAGATTTTCACAAAGGGGAGGAGCATGAAAAAACCATACAGTGAAACCTCTTGGAGGACATGATCTGTGGGCTCACTCAGATCCACAATATCACCGTTATCTTCATACTAGACTGTTATGTTCATACTGGACTGTTACCAAAGTGCCTTTGGCCTCCTAGGAGGTCAGGGGTCCAAACCTCACCAAACGCGAGGAGGGTGTGTGAGTTCATTTGCCGTATATAAATATTATATACTTCAAAAACTTGTACCTCTTAATAACGGCTACATCTCTCTTTCTCCTTTTTTTTTTCTGCGAACCAATTCTCTTGCTTATCTCATGTTCCCATTTCCATGAGTATTTAGAGTGTTCTTATATGTGGACGTTGATGACGATATTAACTACAGGAACAAGACGCAGAAGCGAGTTACTGCTCTTAACAGAGACCTTCCTCCGCGCAATGAACAATTTCTTGTAGATTTTGAGCAGCTTCTTAATCAATTTCCTGTAAGTTTCGAACATAAATTGTAATAAACTTTTACGACTCTTTTTTGTTTCGATTTCGCTGCCCAAATTGCTTGAAGTGTAACCATTGATAGTTGAGAGCTTCTTTTTCAGGACCGGGAACAATTACGAACTGTGTCAGAATCTGTGCTTATCTCACTGGTTATCCAGTGTAGTGGTCATGCACCAAGGGCAGAATTTATTCTTTTTGCTTTGCGTAATTTGTACAACATCGGTTACATACACTGGGACACCTTTCTACCATCTCTTCTGTCTTCGGTTTCATCTGCAGAGATGTCAGTTGGTATCTCCTCTACTGCTTCACCACAGCCTGCTGTCTCTTCTACATCTTTATCACAAACTGGAATGTTACCATCATCTACCACAATTCCCAGTTCTTCCAATTTTCAGGCTTTAAGTCCAGCATCTCCTTTGATTTCAGTTCATGGAATTGGATCCCCATCTCAATCAGCAAATGAACCATCATCTACAGCTTTATCACCTGTAAAATCATCAGATATAAACACGGGCCAGCATTCTGCGGCAAGAAGTAACACGTCAACAAGAGATAACGCTATAAGCAGTTTGCGCCAGTTGTGTTGCAAGATTATCTTTTCTGCCTTAGAAGTCAATTTAAAACCATGTACTCATGCTGATATTTTCAACCACATGATGAATTGGCTGGTTAACTGGGACCAGCAGCAACAGTGGAGCGATGAGGTTGATGGAATAAAATCATGGAAACGGGATAAGGCCTTATTTGAATGGCTACACAGTTGTTTAGATGTGATTTGGCTTTTGGTTGATGATAACAAATGCCGTGTTCCCTTTTATGAATTAGTACGAAGTGGACTGCAGTTTTTACAAAATATATCAGATGATGAGGCACTATTCACACTTATTTTGGAGATTCACAGGAGAAGAGATATGATGGCTATGCACATGCAAATGTTAGATCAACATATTCACTGCCCGACATTTGGGAATCAGCGGCTTCTATCTCAGTCTACAACCAATATATCAGGTGAAGCAGCCATAAATATGAGATATTCACCTATTACATATCCAAGTGTGCTTGGAGAACCGCTGCATGGAGAGGTGATCACTTATATTGATTAATTATTTGTAATTTTTTGGGGTTTTTTAATTTACATTTACTTGATAGATTTTTCAAGTACTATTAAGAAGGTAAAGGATCACATCATTAAGATTGATTGACTTTGAAGAGATGTAACACAAGTAATCAGGGAAAGAATCAATGAGGAGAAAATCTCATCACCTACTTTTGGAGGATAATACTCCTTCTGGAGTTCTTAGTCGTGCATTTAATTATTGAGTTAACCATGTGGCAGCAACAATCATTCATGCAGCGTGATAACATGGTTGAGATCCATTACTGTGAAAATCTTTCACTCCCTATGAGCATAACAATTTGACTGCCTTAGTTAAACATATAGTGGAGTTAGAGATTGACAACCATGTCTAAGTGTCATAATCTCTATTAATTCTACCAGATGTTACACACGAGATCTTATACAACTCATCAAGGAGCACTTAAATAACTTTTTTTTAGCATTTTCTATTAAGCTTAAACACTCTTCTAAAGAGAAAAAACAAGTGGGCAGCTTGGCAGCGCCAATCATTCATGCAGTGTGATAAGATAGTTAAGATCCATTACCGCCAGAATCTTCCATTCTCAATAATCATATCAATTTTACCGAGTTAGTTAAATATTAGTGGAGATTGAGATTGACAACAATATCTAATCAAAGTGTCATGATCTCTATTAAATTTACCAGATGCTACACACCATATCTTATACAACTCATCAAGGAGTACTTAAATAGAAATTAGCATTTTCCTATTAAGCTTAAACGCTCCTCTAAAGAGAAAAGGCAAGTGGTAGCAAGTGTACGTGTGTTATTTACAATGACTATTTACCTACAATCTGGACAAATAATAACATTGTCGGCAATTTAAACCTAGTATGAATGACTGTAGATATAAACCCTCCAGGAATGTAGATCTAAGCTACGACAACGGTATTGATTCTGAACTATGGGCTTAGTTCTCAACACTTTGGAAGGTCTTAAGACTACAATATCTAGCTTACCAGATTGAAGTTGATCAGGCATTAGTCTTGCATTAAAAGGGAGCCTCGTTGTTATAGAAATTAAATTACTAACAGCTTGTAAGATCTTATCAACTTCCTTTATAACACACAATTTGCCTATTCCTCAAAGGAATTTCAATAATTTATTGCTTTGATGTACGTAACTCACTGGATGATGTTTGCAATGGTGTGTCCGGATGACATGGTTAAGATAACCTAAAATTTTGTCACCTGTTACCTGTGTAGGATGTTGCTTTATGTATTCAGAGAGGAAGTCTGGATTGGGAGAGAGCTCTTCGCTGTATCAGGCATGCACTTCGTAGTACTCCAGCGCCTGACTGGTGGAGGCGTGTGCTTCTTGTGGCACCTTGTAACCGACAACACCCACAAGGACCTACTCCTGGTGCTGTCTTTACTTCAGACATGATCCGTGAGGCAAACATTGATAGGATTGTTGAACTCTTGAGGTTGACAAATTCAGGCAAGTTTTTTGTGCTACCTTGTTAACCTATCTATGCAGCAACTTGTGTTGTTATGATGATATCCACTATGAACTATGTATTGAGCTGCTGTTTATGCTATAGACCTCATGACTGGATTGCAAAGTTGTGAACTTTGATAACTTGATATGAAATTCTCTCATTTGATGTGTTCACAAATACCAATTTTTCTCCACACCTTCTAGTATGATGTTTCCTGTGTAGAGACTAAAGAGTATGTTCTGTAATAAACAGAATAACAGACTGAATGCCTATTGACTTTAACAAATACATTATTCAGGATATTTAGGTCAGGGGTGCTCTATTTGCTACCTATTTACCATATTATTTTTGGTCAATTCCGTCAAAGAGTTTTCTATTTGAAGTTTAAGTTTCTTTCATGACTGTAGGTATGATGATCTTGTTTTATAATTGCTATATAAAACTTGTGTTCTTGGACTTAGGCCACTAATGGTTTTAACAACAAAACTCTCACTGATGTGTGGACTTGCATGCTTAGGGGAATTACAGGGTTTCTCAGCATAGTTTTCATAATTTTATTTCTTCTTATAGTTTTTGGTTGATTGTGTGTGATGGTTACTGTCTAAGCCTTGCACTGGGTTCTTCTGTTTCATCATTAACGGTTTCTAGAAACCTCCAGAAGCAAACACATATTTCTGCAGGAATATATAGGTTTTGAGCATATGACGAATTGTAAAGCTTTACAAATACATGCGTTCTCTTTTAGGTCAACATCTCTATTTTAACTTAGAGCAGTAGATATACTTGTGAGTCCTTTCTAAACTTGCACCTGGTATCTTTGTACTATAAAGGGTGGTCGTATCTGAGGAGTGAAAACAACCAATCCAGATTCACTACACCCACAACCGATTAATTTCTTTCACGGAACAGTACTTGACACTTTCTTGTCTTTCTGTTTGTTTACTATAATATTGTTTTTATCATATACTCATCTCCTTTATCATGCTCTGTTGTAAATTTCTCAGGAGTCAGGATGTGATTTTCGTTATCATTTTTATATTCATTCATACATACTCGTAGCATGGTAAATAGTGGAAAATTCCTGAAAAATGTATTCCAAGCTTTGACCTTACTTTTACCTCACATTGATGCAGAGATAAATTGCTGGCAGGAGTGGCTTATCTATTCAGATGTATTTTTTTTCCTTGTGAAAAGTGGTTGCATAGATTTTGTTGATTTTGTGGACAAGTTAGTTTTACGCCTAGCCGAGGATGATCACCAGATTCTTAGGACGAATCATGTCACATGGTTGCTTGCACAGATTATTCGGGTTGAACTCGTAATGCATGCTTTAAATGCAGACTCTAGAAAGGTTGCGTCTGATATAACCATTATTTTCTTATGTAATTTAATCTTGTATAAGGGTCATAATGATATCATATTGGATCTTTTGTGGGATCCATACAGGCAGTAGTGTTTGTGGAAGATGTTTTACGACACACGACACCTGGGGCCCACTAGCTGGACATGTAGGGGGCTTGTGAGTGACAAAAGCACTATTCATCGTGCAAGATTCCACAAACGCTATTTTTCCTACAATTACATAGACATAATTTATTTTAATCTTTTTACTCATAAAGGACGTATGATTGTAGGTGGAAACAACCAGGAAAATTTTGTCGTTTCATAAAGAAGATCGAAGCTCTGATCCTAATAATCCCCAAAGTATCCTGCTTGATTTCATAAGCAGTTGTCAGAATCTTCGCATATGGTCATTGAACTCTTCGACCCGAGAATATTTGAATAGTGAGCAGCTTCAGAAAGGAAAGCAAATAGATGAATGGTGGAGGCAAGCAACTAAAGGTATATATCTCTTATTCACAAATATTACTGCCTAAAGCCTTTGTTATATATTCTTTGCACAGTTCTTTCTATGTATAGGCTTCATGACCTTCATTCAATGGTGTAAATGAGTATTAAGTATCAACCTACCATTTTTGATTCTCAGAACATCTCAAAATATCTTACTCATTATGATGGCAAGAATCATAACTTTAAACCTGTATTCAAACTTATCGTTGTGAACTCTTCTTGCTATTATTGGTTTCTTCTTTGACCACAAACACCCATTTATTTTGTAAAATGTTCTTTCCTGCTGGTAACTCGATCAATTACTAAGTATCATTATTTCCAAGAAAGCTCATATTCTCAATCATAGCCTGCTTCCACTAACAGAATCTCTCATTTGTGAAGTTTCAGAATAACATTGAGGCTCACTGCTGTAAATATTTACAACTCAAACGTTTGTTAGCACAAGCAATGTAATTATGCAAGTGTACACAAAGTCAAGCTATCGCCTTTAACAAGTAATAAAGTGTGAAGGATCCAAGTATCGTACCCACAGGAATTGGACTATGAAGCTTAGAGTGTAAGATGAAGTAAAGAATACACAATGACACATAGGTTTACATGGTTTAGTCATGATTTGACCCACGTCCACAGCCACACGAACGAGTCTTAACTAATTTTGTTTAGGGTTTTGCTATTACAATGAGTCTTATTAGATGTCATGTATACATACGTGGAGAATGGCCCGAAAAGTTGCAATCTGGCCTGGACTTTCACAAGCATTGTGGCAAACAAACATCAGGTTATCAGACTCTATTGCTCAACAAACTAAACTAACCCTTACACTAAAAAATTAAAGTTGGTATGTTGAAGTGGATACATTTGATTGCATTTATCAACTACTACAACCCTACTTGGGGTGCATCAACTTGTGACATTCATCCTACATATGATATTTGAACAAGGTTATGCTTTTGTGAACCAAACAATTCTTAATATGCAGGTTTGTATATATTTCAAATATTTTATGTCAATTAATCAGATTCTTGATATGAATGCTTGTTCAAATATAACATAAGCTTTATGTATTTGCAAAGTAGTTTATATTATCTAGTCTAACCATCAAATTCAAAAAAGAACTGTTAGGCCCCTCGACTTTGTATAACTAGGATTCCTTACCAGGACACTCCTGATATGATAGCATATGGACCTTCCGTATACTTGGTTGTTGGCCTTTTTCTGTATTGTACAATCCATATTTTTACACTGTCCCATATATAATGCACTTATAAGTGCCAAACATTGCTATTCTCATTCACCAATGTATCTTATTTCCAGGGGATCATATGATGGACTACATGAATCTGGATGATAGGTCGATTGGGATGTTTTGGGTTGTGTCCTACACAATGGCCCAGCCTGCTTCTGACACAGTAATGGGTTGGTTAACATCTGCGGGACATGCAGAAGTACCAGGACCAAATCTACAGTCGAATGAGAGAATGTCAATGATGCGAGAAGTTCACCCTGTGCCAATATCATTGTTGTCAGGATTTTCAATTAACTTGTGTCTGAAGCTGGCTTTTCAAATGGAAGAGGCTATGTTCTCTGGTGAGGTAATCCATAAGATTTTGTTGCCAATCGCTCAATTCTTCATTTTGAGTTATACTAATATTATTCTTTTTTAGTTTCTCATATTTATGTGCAAGTGATGGAGGTTGGGGAAACTTATATTTGGTTTGTCAAGTGCACATATCATGACAAAACGTCATACGCCATATGCCCATAACCATGAGAACATTTGAATTGTATTTGATATTGAAATCGAATGATTGCAGAAGTATTCCAGCACTTTGAGACTGCTGGAGGTCTCCTAAGGCTTTTGCCAAACTCAATTTGCAAACTGATTGATGCCTTCCTCACCTTCAGCCCCCTTATGTATACTAATATCCACCTACTTACTAACCCTGCATCACCTACTTGTACTAGTGCATTAGTCAGTTGTACCCAACCTACTATATTTGACTAACACTACCCAAGGTATAGCAAATAAGTTCAAGTAACGCCATAACATTTTGTTCTATATCAATCAGCATCTAAAGCCTTCTATTGATCATAGCCTTGTGCTTCCAATTTCAATGTAAAACTTTAGTTGCACAAGCATATTATATGGAGCTACCATTGAAAGGGGAGTTGGAGCCTGGCTAGAGGAGACTTTTCTTGGGGTCATTTAACATCTGAACGAATTAATTCATGCTTAAATCTAGGCTCATTCAGTCCATAAGTAACAAAACTTGCCATGGTTAACTTCAGTAATTGGAGATAAGACCAAGGTTTTAAGGGTCCATACATTGTGGCGATTTACAATTTTCATTTGGGGGTGGGGACATTAAAAGTAAAAACTTCTAGGTCTTGATCAGTTATTTGGGGGNGAGATTGATGTGATTAGGGATCTACCACAACTGCTGCTGCTGACACCACCACCTACCGTCATCTGCATCAACTAAGGTATGTCAGCTTACCATCCTCTATGCAGCTTCAGTTCTGCGCCTTCCCTTCTCAGTTCGATACAGGTCATAGCGGTATTATGGAGATCTCTTCTTCATACTCCTACTTCAACTAATTTAATAACTTGTTCGCTCTTCTCTGAACTTGGTCCAGTACTAAGAAGATTTCTTTAATTTGTAACGAAGAAATGGACTCAGATTTTGCATCTTGTACTCCATGAAGCGATGCTGGCAAAATAACATAAATAAAGGAAAGCAGAATGGTGGGAGTTATGATCTTTGCAATTTAACATTTCCTGGTTGCTTACAAGGGTGAAGGCACGCTTTGCATTTATCAGGAATAAGGGATGAAGTGTTCTTTGAGCTAGAGTTACATATGAGATTTGCTCTTATTACAAAGAGAAGTGAATGAGGGTACTGTCCTTGTCCTTTTGATGCTTGAAGAAGCAAGTTACTGAAACAGGAAAGGACTCACCTTGAAATATGCTACAACCACATAATAGAACCATAGATTCACACACATGAGCATTATCAGTTATGTCTTGGACCCCACCCCCATGAGGCCCACTTACATGATTAACATCTTTAATCAAGTTGGCAAATGAAAAATTGAACTCCTTTTTATTAGTTGATTCCACGCAAGGTAAAAGTGGGACATTAACTAGTTTATTTCTCTCGGTTGCTACTTCTGGCGATCAGACTAACATCTCATGTGAAACTTCAGCATAATGACAAGCCCCATAACTCTTAATAAATTTGACATAACCTTGTAATTAATGCAACAAATGTTACATTGAACAGTTTACATGGAATTTTACAAGTCCCGCATATTCCCTTCAAGCTGTAATGGGGAGTATATGCAACAGCATAGCCTTCAGTTTCCTTTTTTATACGTGGTGACGAGTGCATGCTTCCACCTCCAGAATCATACCCGCTCCGACCAAATTCCGCTCAGAAAACCCTATTTGGTCCGTTAACATTATTGGTTTCTTTGTTTGTCTTGCTCTAGGAATTCTTCTTTTATGATGGACAGTTGCAAGATGAAGAACTAAAAGCATAGTAGTAAAAAGTTCATTAGAGCAGTGTCTAAGATTGAAACAAACATCTTATCACAAAAAGAAGAAAATATTAACAAAAAAGATATAAAAACAGAGGTCTAGATACATGCACTATATGTATCGAACACTCAAAGTAGTGGAGAGGAGCCACAAACTGAGAAGAGACAGTTCAGGATGACATAAAGGGGTGATAGGGAGGATGGTAGCTTTTATGCATAGCTCAGTGAGTCGAAGATTGCCAGAGATTGAAGGCAGTGATGGAAGATGAATCTTAATTGCGTTGATTGATTGATTGCTCTCTCATTGATTGATCATGTCCTAGTAACATACACTGTTGAACCCGATAACCTGGAGGCTGAGGATTGATGGGCATGCCTAGTTCCAAATCCAGCAGCACCATGCTTTACCAGAGGCTGAGCCACACCAAGATGACCACAGTTTTCATTCTTTGACCAAAAGAGTACATTTGCTTGCAGTTGTCAGATTTCAGCTTGTGCAGTTTTTATCGATATTCGGATCACGAATTAGATTTTCCACAAGTAATATACTTGAGTTCATTTATCGGTCGATTGTCAGTGTACAATTGGGAAAAAAATCTATTGTTTACTTATGACCATTTCTCTAGTCACCACATTTATTTGTCATTGTTTCTAAGCGTTTTAAAAATATGATCCCCAGATATCAAGTCGGTGATAAATTTGATTTGTGTACCATTGCAGTCTTTTTCATGTGCCATAGATTTTTACATGGTATTCCCTTTTATAAAACCTGGCTTATATAACAGGTGCTTTGGAGCCAGCTGCTTGTTTGCTTAAATTGTAATGATAGTTTTTTATCATGCAATTTACATGAACTAGTTAAAACATCTTTCACATGTTCTCATATTTTGCCTTTTCATCTGAATCAGCATGTGCCTAACATTGCGATGGTCGAAACATATACTAGATTGCTGCTCATTCAACCTCATTCGTTGTTCCGTTCGCATTTAAGTGTAAGCTCCCTCCACTGCTTCCTGAAATTCATGTTAACTCGATATTTTTCATGGCTCTGTTAACTGTTAATCACTTGTCAAGAATAGAAACCTCCAATAAAAATGTTAATGGACATTAGCTTTTTCCTGGTCCTCGCCATATATAGACTTCTTGGTCTGCTTGAGGTCCTTGCTTATTCCTAATGCAACTTTAGTGAGGAATTATTTCTAATTGAATCCAAAGGTGTTCATAGAGTCGAAATATTACTTTTGGAAAGTGTGTTTCACATGATCAAGAAATTGATCCAAGTTTGATCTAACAACTGGGTGTGTTTGGTTTGGTTTAATTTGTCTACCAAACTTTCTTTAAATGGCAGACAAAAGAGATGACACTTTTGTCATTTAACGTATAAATCTATGCACTTAGTGCTTTCTGAATCTGTCCAAAGTGACTGCGTTTGCAGCCCAAATGGTTTCTCTCGTATTTTTTAACTTATGGTATCCAATGCGTAAGACATTTGGATCAGCTATTATTGATTGGATATTTGTGTGTTAGTCCTCTCTTGTTAAAGAGTTCCCATGTTATTGAAAGGAAATCTAAAATTTGTCACTTCATTCAACATTGCCCTGACAACGCTTGTAAACCTAACTTTGTGTTTGTCGTTGCATGTTCTTTTTCTTTTTCTCCTGTTATATCATGCTCTAATTCTTCTTAACTTTTGCAGCATCTCCATCAGAGGAACCCATCTATCTTAAATAAGCCATCTGCTACTCTTTTAGTGCTTGAAATTCTCAACTATCGTTTATTTTCCCTATACAGGTAATAGAAAATTTTCCATCTTTCTTAATCATTTTCAATTAGAGTGATGGCTGTTAGCACATTTATATACAGTTGGGTGCCTACAAGATTTTGTATTTAATTTGTCTCATTAACATCATGTACTTCCAGTGGGAGAGCTAGTTAGCTAGGAATTTGGGAGGGGGGAGGATCATAATACTCCTACTTCCTTCTTCCATGTTAGTCGGTACAGAGTGACTTCTGTTGATGTATACAAACCCTAGTGAAGTAATGTACAACATTGGAGAACACTTGCAATATGTTTAATAACAAAACACTTGCATTGATCAAGATAAGAGGATCGAAGGAAAGATGAGAAACTTGTATAAGAAATACATAAAGAAAAAGGATATCATGAACAGTAATAAAGTAGCTTTATAATATTAATATTTATTTCATATGAAGTTCCACGTCCACTTTGTAGGTGAATTCTAGACTAAAAGCTTGTAAGATTGTTCATGTTCTGCAGGGAATGTGGTAACTATGTTACCCACAAAGCGATTAACATGCTTAATGCAATATGCATTATTGAACAACCAATGATGCAGAAAAAACATCTGAACACTTTTCAACACAATATGCTCTCCTTTCATCCCTTGTGATGTAAATGTGGCATGTAATACTCTTTAGAATATATACAATGTGGCAGGCACTACTAAATTCCTTAAATCCACAAGCAAGCACTAGTATACATACCAAGTGGACTTTAGCCGAATGGAGTCAATCCAGTCTCCAGAATTTTTAAGTTGTGGGTTTGAGTCTGTTTAAAGACATGGGTATACAAGTATGTTGAGTGTTTCAGAAAACGAAGAAAAAAAGGAATACAAGGTTGCTCATGGAGCCCTAGCTTGGAATTAACCACACCCTTCATCTAGTGCGCTTATGCTCCTTTTTAATTTGTTCTATTTGTCTATATAAACTTCATACCATTGTAGGTACCAAGGGAAAAGCAAGACATTAATGTATGATGTCACCAAAATTCTCTCTACTCTAAAAGGCAAGCGCGGAGATCATCGTGTGTTTCGGTTGGCAGAAAACCTGTGCATGAATCTCATTTTATCATTGAGAGAGTTCTTTTTTGTGAGGAAGGAAGGAAAGGTGGGATAACTGGAACTGGAAATTTCTTTTCGTTTAACTTCAACCACCATTTTTAAGCGCATATGAATCTTGTGCAGGGTCCCACTGAATTCACAGAAACATTGAATCGCATAACTGTAGTGAATCTTGCTATTATCATCAAGACTCGTGGAATTGCTGATGCTGAACACCTTCTCTATCTTCAAACAATGTTGGAACAAATCTTGGCCACTAGCCAGCACACTTGGTCAGGAAAGACCCTCCGTTACTTTCCACCTGTTCTATGTGATGCCTTGATTGGGAGGATAGACAAGAGGGGCCTAGCAATCCAAGCATGGCAGCAGGTCTGTGTTGGCTTACTTGGCATGCATTTTCTACCATGTTTCAGCTTCATTTCAATCTTTCATTAAGTTGATAAGATGATTTCCTTCTATATTGCACAACTCAACTTAGGAGTTATTCTAAATCCTAATAACTTGGGCTTGGCGCTTTATACTTACAATATTACCCTGCGAAGGTTGTTCTCTGGATTTCTTTTTGTGAAAGTAATAAGAGGTGATGATATGGGAAAAGAGTTGCAGGCTGTGCATGTAGATAATTAGGTAACCTTTCTTTGCAGGACATTGGGCTGTGAATGTCATTTTCCACCGATGATTTTTTTTTATCTGACTGCGCCCAGGCTCTTAGTACCCTCTTGTTATGGACCTAACATTCCTAACTTATTTAGGGATCAAATATTACCATGTCTGATGTTTTATCCTCGGAATGGTGGAACTAATGTATTCATTTGATTGAACATGCCTTTGGCGACCTTAGGCATTTCCGAGGACATGACCTCTAATAGGAGTTCTTGAAGCACATGATTAGGGTAGCAGACTAGGGGGCTTGTAGCTAGCATAGATGAGAGGAAAGGAGCTGGAGAGGTAGAGGAAGATGGGATAGGGTTAGAGAGCCGGCAGGTAGGTTACGTGAGTCTTAAGAGAGTGGGGGTTGTGTGGTTTTTCCTTTATCTTTGCCATCTTTCCTTGCATCTGCTTTGCTTTTTTCCTAGTCTTGGTTTTTCTTTTCAAATTTCAGCTTTTCTTCCTTTCTTGTCTTGAGTTCACCCCTTTCATTTCTTGGCTCTTTTTCAAACTTCTCAAACTTTTTGGGCATGCTTTCTTTGTCTCCCAAATTTTTCACAAGTCGGCGTTCTTCACAGAAGTAGCCATTCTACTCCTTGTAGTAGAGGAAAGACCTGCATACATGATACATCTCAACCCCACCTCCTGGGTGGGATATGCTGGGCTCGTTTGGTTGGGTTGTTGCTTACTCTCGATGTTTTTTTTAAGTATATAATATTCTCGTTGTTCTTATTATATGATACAAGTTTAAAAGTAAAAACATCCATGTTTTGGCTATACAAACAGGCCCCAAATACTATATTTTTTCTGTTGCTAATGCATGTTCTCAGAAATTTTCTCGTAAGAAAATTGAAGGTTTAGTGAGCTTTGAAACACTTGCACTATTTAATTTTGATGTGTACAATCAGTAACGAGGTTATGATGTTCATTCACAGGCAGAAGAAACTGTTATTATTCAGTGTACACAGCTCCTCACACCATCAGCTAATCCTACTTACGTCATGACCTATATTAATACCAGTTTTCCTCAACACCGACAATATCTATGTGCTGGAGCATGGGTACTGATGCATGGACACCCTGAGAACATTAATAGCGCAAACCTGGTAAAGTGTTCCTTGCTCTCCACTTTTCTTAAGTGTTGGGATTTACCTTCCCCATGATGACCATGGACCAGCACACTGGGGACCCTTGAGAGTGGCGAATACTCTGTTTTTGTTACATTCCATTTTTGCATAAATACTCACTCTCCTGAATGTAGGGACGTGTTCTGAGAGAATTTTCTCCTGAAGAAGTGACTGCAAATATATATGCTATGGTCGATGTCCTTCTTCATAATATGCAGTTGGAGCTACAGCATGGACATCCCTTGCAGGTTTGGCAAAGAACCTTAGTTTATGTGTGAATTGTGGTCTCTTGATCATATCCAGTATCATTTTCTGGTTAAGTGGTATTTATTGTTTATTTTATTTGTCACAAGAAATCAATTTGCTTTCACTTCATCAGGATCTTATATTGAAGGCTTGTGCAAATCTAGCATACTTCATTTGGAACCATGAGTTGCTTCCGTTGGACATTTTGATTTTGGCACTAATTGACCGTGATGATGATCCACACGCTTTGCGAATTGTGGTATGTAGCCGTAACTATTATGTTCCTCTTTTTGATGGCGGCGGTATGTTTGTATGGCACGAAAGTTATTTGCGTTGCTCTTTCATAGTGACGTTTTATTCTGAAGTTATTTCCGTTGCTCTTTCATAGTGACGTTTTATTCTGAAGTTTTTTTTTTGAAGTATATAATATTTATATACGTTTTATTCTGAAGTTATTTCTGTAAAGAGTCGGTTATTGCACCCAGTATGACTTTGTGCTGTTAATTTGCTAATGTTATTATTTTTCAGGTTAATTTGCTTGAACGACAAGAGCTTCAACAGAGAATAAAGTTTTATGTTGGTAACCATGGCAAGCCTGAGCATTGGCTTCAAACTGGAATTTTCAAGCGTATTGAGTTGCAAAAGGCTCTCGGCAATCATTTGTCATGGAAGGAAAGGTGATATGCTGAAAAGACGTGTGTTTTTATATCCTCTTTTTTGCATGCTTTTATATCAATTCCTATGCTGGAAGATGATTTAAATATTGTTCCATCATTCTTCAATTTTTCATGCTGTATAAATATTGTGTTTTTGTAGGTATCCAACATTTTTCGATGATATTGCAGCACGTTTACTGCCTGTTATCCCTTTGGTCATCTATAGGCTTATTGAAAACGATGCTGCAGAAGCAGCTGATAGAGTTCTTCAATTTTATTCAACATTCCTTCATTACTATCCTTTAAATGTTACATTTGTTCGTGATATACTTGCGTATTTCTACGGACATCTTCCAGCAAAGCTCATCTTCCGAATACTGAATGTGCTCGATATAAAAAAGGTAAGATGCTCTTCCCTTTTAACTTTCCCCTACTTTCTTTCATCCTTCTATCTCAACATAAACTCTGTTTCAGATGCCATTTTCTGAGTCATTTCCACAGCATGTTAATTCGTCAAATGCCATGTGCCCACCATTGGAGTACTTTGCATCTCTTTTATCTAACCTCGTGAACAATGTCATCCCTCAATGCAACTCGAAAGTGGATGCTTCAAGCAACGGTCTGCGTACCATCATTAATAGAAACCAGACACCTGGTCAGCCTGGGTCCACAAACGCCTTTGAAGGTCAAAAAGCATTCTATCAGATACAAGATCCTGGCACATATACTCAACTTATTCTTGAAACCGCAATTATAGAAATCCTCTCTCTCCCCGTATCAGCAGCACAGATCATAACAGCACTTGTACAGATTATTGTTCACATACAACCAACTCTTGCACAATCTAACCATGGTTTCCATGGATCTTCGACCAGTTCAGGCCAAGGTTCTACTTTGCCAACTTCCCCATCAGGGGGAAGCACTGATTCATTAGGGAGAAACAGACAGACTTCTGTTTTGGGATTAAACTCTTCTAACTTTGTTTCACGGAGCGGTTATGCAAGCCAGCAACTGTCTTGCTTGATGATCCAAGCTTGTGGCCTCATGTTGGCTCAGCTTCCTATCGAATTCCATAAACAGCTTTATGCAGAGGCGGCACGTGTGATCAAAGAGAGTTGGTGGCTTACAGATGGTAAGAGATCTACTAGCGAGCTAGATTCTGCTGTTGGTTATGCTTTGTTGGATCCAACATGGGCTGCTCAAGATAATACCTCCACCGTCATTGGTAAGTTGCAATGTGGCTGCAGTAACTATTTTAACATTCCTGTAGTTTGTTATTAACTTGTTTATAGTACTCCCTTTGACCCAAAATAAGTGTCCACATGTCTATTTCTTAGTTTGTCCCAAAGTAAGTGTCCACTTTCCAATTCTATCATTAATTATGAGATGTAGAAATTCAGTAACTCCCTCTAATAAGGGTAAAGTTGTCATTTAGTAAATTAAAGTGTAATAGTTGCTCATTTTTAAAACTGTGTGTGTGGACAGTTATTTTGGACGGAGGGAGTATGATTTACTTTTCTGGGGTCGATTCGTAGTCACTATTTCATTTCAACTTTCTCCTTTTATGCTGCATGGTAAGAGAAGAAACCAGGAAGTGATTATGGGTCCCATCTATTCGATTAGTGGAGTACGCAGATTGAACCACACGATGGAGAATAATAGATGTTGAAAATGATAAGACGTCCCAAAATAAATGCAACATTTGACTGAGCATATTAATTGATAAAAATGTTCGACTATTGCTATCATATCTAAAATACCCCTTCATAATGTTAAGGGGTATTTTTAGATTGTAGATGGGCAAAGAGGTACCTTCAGAAGGAGGGAGTATATTATTTATTTATTTTATTTACTAAAATTATCTCGAGCATGTGTGAATTTTCAGGTACTAAGTACGATTATTTAATGGTCAAATAGCTAATTTGGATTGAAACATTCCTGGAAAGGGAAATGTTGCATTGTTTTGGAAGGACTGTCCATATTATTTCTAAAATTATCTCAACTAATGTGTGAATCTTGAGGATGAGAAGTAGTCATGATTGATCATAACATCCAGCATTGAGTTAATTTACCACAATTATGCTCACCAGATTCTGATTTATGTTGCATAATTATGATAATTCCAGGAAATGTGGTGGCTCTGCTTCATTCATTCTTCAGTAATCTTCCACAGGAATGGTTAGATAAAACACATCTCCTGGTAAACCATCTACGTCCCATAAAATCAGTCGCAGTGCTGAGAATAGCCTTTCGTATCATTGGTCCATTGCTGCCAAGATTAGCAAATGCTCACAATTTGTTCACCAAGGTAACTTCTATAACAAAAGTATCACTAGCTTTTCTACCAGTTACTTCCTGGGTATTCCATCACAACCTCTTTTCCTATAAAGGTCCACAATTCACTTCTGACTTCAAATGATCTCTTCTTCAACTTTATCTTTGAAACCCCTTCGGTCTCATCAAAATTGCAATAATTTCCATATCTAGAAAGCTTTTTAGTTAGGATTATATATGTCCCCATTCTCATCATTTACAAAAAAAGATTGATGTTAGTGATTTGGGTACACAATATTGAAAACTTTTAAAGGCATTTGACTAATAGTCAAACCCCTTAAACGACAATTCTATTTCTGGAAACTTTTGAGTTAGAATTATCTATTTGTTCGTTTTAGTTATTACATAAACAGACTGATGTCAGTAATTTGGGCACATAAGATTGATGTTTGTGTCATAAATGAAGGGCATTCAAGTCATTTGACCAATAGTCAAACCCCTTATGCAATATCTCTAAGTTTCATATGGGACACAGGAGAAAATAGCTACTCTGCATCCACATGAGAAGTGATCATGTTAGAATATGACACTGAAAAACTGAAAACATTATGTCTAGTTCTAAATTTAGAAACTAAAAAACTTGATTCAGATCGAATTCTTTATCATCTCATTATCGTTTTTAACTAATTTTCCAGACCCTAGAACTGCTTTTAAACATGATGGTGGACGTCTTTGGGAGGAACTCTCAGCCTTCAACTCCCGTCGAAGCATCAGAAATAACCGACCTTATTGACTTCCTGTAAGATTTGATTTGCCATTTGTATGATCAAAGTTACATAAATAAAAATGCAGTTTGATTCTTGCAATTCGCTGAAAACTTTATGTGCTTATATATCTCTTTTTCTTTGTTTATAGTCATCATATCATACATTATGAAGGTCAGGGAGGCCCTGTACAGCCAAATTCGAAAGCAAGACCAGATGTATTGGCTTTATGCGGAAGAGCCATTGAAGATTTGCGCACCGATGTGCAGCATCTTCTTTCTCACCTGAAAACTGATGCAAATGGTTCTATTTATGCTGCTACTCATCCGAAGCTCTTTCAGAGTCCATCTTGATGATTATACCTTTGAGGTTATTAGGGTTCTTGTTTCTAGGATAGATCTTAACATTTCCAGTATAATGTACAGTTTTCGTTATAATTTGGCCAGATTTCCTCCGTCAAAGTTCGATCGAGTAGAAACAGAAAGATCCTCAACTATAAACCCATATTTTTAATGTTTAGAGAAGTTCACACTGTTTTGTTGTTGTAAAAGTTTAATAAACAAGCAATGAATAACAAATGTAGAATGATATTTTTGTAACATTTTCTGGAAAGTGGCTGATAGCAATTGATATAAAACAACATAATCAGGTGTTCATATCGTTACAGAGAACGGCGATATGATATGATCTTTATATTGGCATCTCAAAATGAGTTTAGATTATAATCAACATCTAATGACTTGCAGAAATTTCAACTTTTGTTACATGGAATCAAAGGCAATGCAGCATTGCCGCTTATACCCTTTGCTCGCTTGCAGCTATAACAGCGGTGCTGTTGGCAACAGAGCCGATGGAGTTCTTGCCGAGGCGGTAAGGAACTGAAGCCATCACCCTGTAGAGATGCAACAGGATTACCTCAAGTTAACAACGAATCTTGATGATTAAGTGCTAATCCAAGAAAGTCAAACTTTTGAGGTCAACAGAGTTCATTTTCTTTCAAAGTTTCAAAGAGAAGTTTGGAAGTTGGAGCAAATTTTTATGGCAAATGGTATGCAAACAAAAATGGTGTTAATGTTGTGGGAAGAGAACCAAAAGGGTTCCAAACAAGAACTCATGAGCGAATAAACCGTGAATGAGAGAAGGTTGTGATGTACCTTTCCTTGCGCTTCTCAAGAAACCGAGCCAATGATGCTTTGCGCGCTTGAGGAACGGCTGCACAGTATAAACTTAGTTCAAAGTCCTCGCATTAAACTGCAAATGGCTAGATGCTTGTTATAGTGTAAAGGAACATGAACAGAGAAATGAAAATTTGCACGTTAATAACAGTTTTTGGATACGAGCTAAATGACTAAACTACCCCTTCAAGAATAACAACACAAGGGAATCTTGTGGTAAAAAAACCCATAGAATTTATCATATTATAATCATGACAAAATCACAAGCTGCGAGTCTTCACGAAAACAACAGCTCTACTTTTGTGGGTTGAGGTTAGGTTTATGTACATTATAACCCCAAACTCCACCTTTGGGTGAGATATACTAGGCCTGTTTGGTTTGGTAATCATGACAAAGGTTATATTGGTAATTTTAGCTACAAATAAAATTTGTAAGAAAACAAATTTTGCAATATCCGAACTCCTCTTCATATCACAAAATATAACTACCTGATTGCCTCGCTTGTCTAAACGAACTCATGACTCTTGGAGTATCCATTTGTGTGACGGGAGTGGTTGAACCTCCTATTCTTTTAGCTGCTTCGCTTTTGTTAGCAGTCGATTGAGGAACAGGGTGTGAAGACACGGACATTGGGCTTGAGACGGCTGAGCAGGGTTGTGTGCTAATTGGCTGGCTCATATAAACTGCATCTCCTGCAGGGTTCGTTGGTGCCTGCCCCCTTGGCTGTGGTCCATTAGCCGCTGCCACGAAGGCCCCTTTCCCAGCTAAGAACATTATAGCTTGAGCCTAGATAAGATGTGCCAAAGAAATTCATTTGTGCAATTTCTTCCGTTTTGTGGGTTCTTGATTATTTCCTCAATATCGACAAAAATGGACCCACAATAACGTGTTTCCTCTTGAATCATATAAACAAGACGGAAAAGATGAAAATATCACAACCAAAATGAAGAACACTTTGGTATTGTGTTTAAAGTCTTCCAAAACACAAACCACATGGTGATGATCATGAAATCAAGATGCATTTTCGCAAAAACATTCTTTTTTCAAAAGCTAAGATGAATTTTCTGGAAAAAAGATAGAAATCAAGTTGTATAGGCCCAAAAACTCATCCTCATTAACGTCAAAAAGAGTATTTTTCTTTGTTTGCATCTGGTACACACAAGGGACTAGACAAGACGAGACAGGACTTGATGCTCGAGAGTGAGGTAGGTGGGTGAAATAATTATGGAGAGCTTTAGGGTTTTAATTTGACATGGGTATTTTAGTAATTTACCAATCTAGTCCATCTCTCAGGTTTTTGTTCCACCTACTTTGGTGGAACAAAAAAATGCATTTTTGTATGTCTCAAGTCTTGTCCTATCCCGGTCTAATAACACGCCAAACGTGAGACAACAAGTTTTTTTTATAATGTTTTACTACCCGAATTCATGTTTTTTACAAATTATACGCAAAAACTGCAAACCAAAGCACTGCCAAATGATACCTAATCTATTCATAAAGATTGCAACTAAACAAGAAAAAGATGAAGAGTAAACCAACCTTCTCAGGGGAGATATCATCATAGACATTAACCATACCTCCATAAAAGATGGTTAGTTGAGCCGAAGCAGAAGCAGCCTTGGAGCTATCCCTTCAATAAACGAAGAAATTATTAAATCATTTTTGGGGCAAGATTCATTCAAGAAAAAGAACAAATACATGAGCTAATTTAACAAAGAATTAGTACGTTTTACAAGTGTTTATAAGCATGTTTTGGTTGAAAACAACTCAACAAATAGAACTTAAAAGCAAAAACAGCAAACCGCCGCACCATGATTCAGTTGTAGGAGCAAAAAAGGAGCCAGTAGACGGAAGAACCAGATGAGGAGACATAACAGGAACTCCGCCAAATAACTGTGGGTTAACAGAAGCACCAGCAAGATGGTGCCTAAAGAAAGGACTACTCATGCTAACCGGAACTGCTTGCTTGGTATCATGGTGAAGTTGTAGAAAATTCGCACTCTGTTGCACGAAATAAGCACCAAAAAGCAGTGAAAAATAGCCTATTAAAACCGATGTTTTTCTATATAGTTAAATGGTTCACCAACCCAATAGAGATATATCCATCAATAATCTAATTCATGATTATAATTATACCTCACAAAACTTTATGAAAAATCTAACCATATCAATAATCTTTGATGAAGAACAAACTTATATGAGATATTAAACAAAACAAATCATCGTTAGCTTATTAAATTGCCCAAAAGGAATCATTATAAACCACCAACACACACACACACACACACACATATATATATATATATATATATATATAGAGAGAGAGAGAGAGAGAGAGTGAGAGTGAGGTGAAAACTCCCAGAAAAAAATGAAAAACCGAGGGACACCTAAATAACCGTTCATGCACATGTATATACAAGGAATTGAAGATATTTCGTGTACAGATGAATGGGTATCTCAATTTTTCATTTCTTTGAACCATATATATACATGATTAAAATTCGAACCTGAATTTCACCCAATTGGTGGTTGTTAAAGGCTTCGAAACCATCTGCCAAAGATACAACAATACATCAATATACTAGTTTCAACCTTTCATTTCTATCTCCGATATAAGGTTACATTTTGTGCCAAAAATCATGTTTGATTCTTGGTTACATTTAGGGTCTACCTATAGCAATTCCAATGGAATAGCAGAGATCTTACTTGAGAAAGGCCATCGAACATCCGAGCTTATCGAAAACACTACATATCACAAAAACAATAGTAAAGATCCCCAAAATCGAAGTGAACAAATTCAAATTAGTTTCAAAGAATTTAAAAAAACCCCTAAAAACTGCATCATCGTTCAATTAAGATTCTGAAAATAAACACCATAAGCAGCAAATTCAAAGTCGTTTTTCTATAAAAATTGGAGAGAGAAGGATAGTCCTAATTAGGTAAGAATGATTAATTTCTACATTTGAACAGCCAGTTGGAATTAAATCAGAACAATACAAGCACTAAATTCACGAAATGAAAACTGAAAACCCCACAGCACCATGACTCGAATGAATCATAAAACCCCAACTTCAATGAGTTTGAAAAGATACCTGGTTCTTTGAGAGCTTCCTCCTTGACGACTGTAGCTCTAGAATTCAAACCCATAAAATCCCTCTCCATTTTTCAAGGTGAAAAATGGAGAAATCAAACGACCCAACAACCGGAAATATATAGAGATAAAAACCCAGAAGAAAAAAACGAGAAGATCGGAGCAAAGATGAGGCGAGAAAATGGCTTCCAAGACGAAGAGAGAAGTTAGGGGAGGGGATTTTTATGTCTGTGTAGCATCAGTCTCAGAGCCGTTATAATCTCTCTTCGGACCGAACTCTTATTTTTTATTTCATTTTAAATTAATTATTTTATTATTAAAGCATATTTTTTATCTTTTTTTAGGATAATTCAAAATAAAAAAACAAAAAAAACGTGGCATTCTCTTATTGGGTCCAATAGAGATTTTTAAAGACAATTTGGGTTACCCTATTTTATTAGGGGCATTTTTTTGGCTTTTCGCCATAAGCATCTGAAAATCTCAAGAACGGCCCTGGATGTCGTTCTGATAAACCATAATCTTAATCGGTAAGGTAAATGAGAATATTGACTATTAAGGTTAAATACTTACTAAGTAAACATTTAAGTAAATGAACCCTATGTTTTCATGGGTAGTCCGGAGTTGCCACATTTTCTTCATGGCTACAAGAAGATTTTTATTCTTCCTTGGATTTGAACCTGAGACCTTGAGACACTTTTTGACTTTTAGAGCTCAAGCTCAAACCAATCAAGTACCACCCTTACGGTCATAATGAAGTATTTTTAATTATATATCAAATCAAATATCACACATGAATTAATTATAATCATCTACATAAATAAAATACTCAAATATAACAAACTTTATCATAGATTCAGCTGAGTACATAACCAAACAGTATAGATTTCAAAAGAGGATTCATAATGTTGCATTGATTTGACTTCTTTACTTATGCTATTAAAGCTGTTAATGCACGATTAGAAAGTGGATTACAATAGAGAGTTGTACGACGGGTCTAGGATGGATGAGTCAAACGACTTCGTCGATACATGAGTCTAAATCATGGGCATACCTTTAATCTATTAGGTTTTTATCAACATATCTTTTAGAGTAAACTATAAATTTGGTCCCTGTGGTTTGGCAAAAATAACACTATTTTGTTCTTACAGTTTTGAAATTACAAGACAGCCATTGTGGTTTACGAAAATATTCAGATTTGGTCCTTCACTCTAACGACCGTAAATATATTCATATTCTACTAAACGAGGGATGCTTTCATCTTTTTATCATTTTTTTTTTGTCTTTTACCAAATTAAAATCGATTTTATGATTTTGATCATGTGATTTTTGATCGAGTGAAATACAAAAAGATCAATAAAAGGAAAAAAAAAATCTCTTCATTTAATGGATTTTTTATGACTGTTTGAGGCATGGATTAAATCTAGACGTTTTTCGAACCAAGATCACCATTTTATAATTTTAAAATTATAAGGACGAAAGTGTCATTTTTGACAAACCATATGAACTAAATTTGTAATTTACTCTATTTTTTAAAATAGAATTGATCGATTAATAATCACATACAAGCATTGTTTAAACAATGGATGTAAAAGGTTGTATAAATTTTTTTTATTAACCTGAATATTCAATCCGCTATGCGAGTCGACTAATCTTAGGACGATCATTTGTTTTGCAGATAGACCGGAGTCATCGCATTTGAACCTCCGTGCCCACAATGAGATTTTTATTTCTTCTTGGATTTGAACTTGAGACCTCCTGATACTTTTAACTTTTGGAGTCAAGTTTAAACCAATCAGGCACTACCTTTATGGTTAAAAGTTGTATGAATTTGAGTGTGAGTGTAAAATAAAAAAATGCTTATTAAATTATTTTTAATAATTAAAAAAAACATTGTGGTTGTGAAAACATATTGACTTTTGTGGAAAATAAAAAACAAATGGGCATAAGCACGTGTGTATAAGATTATAATAATATTATTTTAAATAAAAAAATGTAGTTGTGGGGTCACTTTAAAAGTCTATGGAAGTCCTCTGCAAAAACCACGTCAACACATATTTTTAAAAGTAAATTGCTTTTTATTCTTCATACTTATATCTATATCTATACTATATTATAATGCATTTGGCTAAAACTCTTAAAACTCTTAAAACTTTTAAAAACTCTTAAAAACTCTTAAACCCTTCCTATATCTAAATTCGTGTAACTAATTGCAGATAAACACAATCAAATACAGGATAAACATCTCATTTTAAATAAAAAAAATCTAAAATATAATTAGTATAATCATTAAATTCTAACAGAATACTTAATTAT